CTCTTGCCCGCCGGAGCGCTCTGCTCGTCGGAGTCGGAGGAGCTCTGGGCCTTCTGGGCGGGGGGGTACTGCGGAGGCCCCCACGCGGTGTGGTGACCACACCGTGGGTGAGGAGCAGACGGAGGAGGAGGAGGAGGAGGAGGAGGAGGAGGAGGAGGAGGAGGAGGAGAGGGAGGAGGAGAGGGGGAGGAGGAGGAGGAGGAGGAGGAGGAGGAGGAGGAGGAGGACGAGGAGGAGAAGGAGGAAAACGAAGAGCAGAGGGAGCAGGAGGACGACGACGAGGACGACGAGGAGGAAGGAGGAGGAGGAGAGAGAGGAGGAGGAGGAGGAGGAGGAGGAGGAGGAGGAGGAGGAGAAGGAGGAGGAGAGAGGAGGAGGAGAGGAGGAGGAGGAGGAGGAGGGGGAGGAGGAGGAGGAGGAGGAGGAGGAGGAGGAGGAGGAGGAGGAGGAGGAGGGGGAGGAGGAGGACGAGGAGGAGGAGGAGGAGGGGGAGGAGGAGTGATGAGCCAGTGGGCCCCGAAGAGCTTCCTGCTCCGAGGGCGCTCTGGCCGTCCCGCGGCCGTCCCAGCACCCTCGGCTCCTGCCTTCCTGCTCCCTGCGTGCACGATTCGCTTCCGTCGGGGATCTACCGACCTGGGTCAATCCAAGGAGGAGGAGGAGGGGGAGGAGGATTCGTCTTTCCTCCGCAATCCCCGAGGGCAGGACCAAGCACACCTTCGTGCACGACAAAGGCCCAGCCAGCAAGAAACACTCGCCAGCTGGGGCAAGAGGAGGAGGAGGAGGGGGAGGAGGACGAAAGCGCGCAAAAGGACTCTAGGTCCCCGGGTCGTGCAGGATCCTGCAAAATCCTGCGGGATACTGCGCCCGAACCCGGGTCGATGCAACCTGGGCTCTGCAGGATACTGCAAGATCTGGCGCTCTGGCGGACCCCCGCCCGTTTGCATTGGCCCCCCTCGTTTGGAAAAACAGTGTAAAATAGTCAACGAACAAAAAAACGAGCATTGTCGACAGAGCGCGAAAAATCGTCACCGGACGATCTCCTCACTGTTCTCGAGTACTCCTCTTGTAGAGGGACACGCCCGACTCCAGCCTGGGGCGGATCTGCGGCTCCTCGCTCGCCGGGCCCTTCCATCCGTGGCCGCTTCTCGGCCACCCGGCGGCCTCCCGCCCCGAGCGCCCGCGGGAGGCCCCTCCGTGCTCGGCGGCGCACGCGCGGCGCCGGCGCGCGCGCACGGGGTCCTGGCGGCGCTCGTCTGCCGTGGAGGAGGCGGCACGTGAGCGACGGGAAAGACTGGCCTTGCCGCGAGACCCAAGGGTATAGACCACCAGCTCCTCCGCTCCCCCGCCCCTCCCCTGCTCTCCTCTTCCCCTCCCCCTGCCTGGGAGAGGGAGGGGGCGAAGGAGGTGGTGAGGGAGGTGGTGAAGGTGGTGGTGGTGGCGGCGGTGGTGGTGGTGGTTGTGATGGTGGTGATGGTGGTGAAGTGGTGAAGTGGTGAAGTGGTGAAGTGGTGAAGTGGTGGATGTGGTGGTGGGTGGTGGGTGGTGGGTGGTGGGTGGTGGGTGGTGGTGGGTGGTTGGTGGGGGTGGTGGGTGGTAGGTGGTGGGTGGTGATGGGTGGTGAAGGTGGCGGTTTGTGCTGGGTGGTGGGTGATGGTAAGTGGTGGAAGGTGGTGGTGGTGGGGGTGGTGGGGTGGGGGGTGGGTAGGTGTGGTGGGTGGGTGGGTGGTGGGTGGGTGGGTGTGGGTGGGTGGGTGGGTGGGTGGGTGGGTGGGTGGGTGGGTGGGTGGTGGGTGGTTGTTGGTGGTGGTGGTGTTGGTGGTGGTGGTGGGTGGTGGTGGGTGGAAGGTGGTGGTGGGTGGTGGTGGAGGTGGGTGGTGGGTGGTGGTGATGGTGGTGGGTGGTGGTGGTGATCTGTGATCTTCGGCCCCGTTCTTACGCGAGATGGCATTTCGACCTTACGCGGTGGCTTACGCTGGCCGCCAGCGCGGTACGCTACATTGGAAACGAGGGCGCTCACGCGCGATATTGCGCAGGCAACTTACGCGCCAACGTCGGTAGAGACGAACCCGATGTCCGTCGTCGCTTACGTGTACTCGCAGGCCTGTCGCGGGCACATGTACAGTGTCCTGCGCGCTAAGAGAGAGTGAGACGGCACCATGTGTTAACTCAGGGTTGCCGGAATCGGCCATCTGTTGCCCTGGGCGCGGGCTTCCGAATCGCGACCACGCATACAGCCTGTCAACGGTTAGCTAGGTGGGAGCGGCGCAGCGTGTACCCTGTGGGTATTTCTTCCAGGGATGAAAGGCGGGGCCCCCGGGTTGTCCAGTGTGGTTGCTTCAAGATCGTGCCCTTGCCTGCACCCTGGAAGAGTGCCTCAAAGATGGATGGCGCGACGGGTTCTAGCCAAAGACGGCAACCAGCAGCTCGCTGATGCTGCGCCTCTCCAGCCCCCGCCTCGCATCTGCTCGGCCCGTGCCTCCAGAATGCGGTCGGCCCGCATCATCAGGACGTGCGAGGAGGACACAAGCTTCTCGGAGGGCCACCTCGAAGCTTCTCGAGCGGGGCGCGGCCAGCAAGGGCGGCCAAGGATGGGCCGAAGGAGCACAAGGATGCAAGGGGTACCCTTGGGAAGGCTGCCCGTCCTGGCTATGCGGGTCGGCTGTACTGCCGAGCCGCAGGAGGCGCGGGTGGAGGACACGGGCGGGGCAGGGGGGGGGACGGGGTGATAGGGGGAGGCCCGCTCGATGTCCACCCCCGCGGGCGGCGTTGCTTTGTCTCGCCCTGGCCTTCTTCTTGCCTTTCTTGGCCGCCTCGGCCTTCTTGGCCTCCTCGGCCTGCGAGGGGGGGGGGGGCAGAGGCAGGAGATGAACTCCCTGCGAGACATGCACAGCCCTGTGACTGTGGACCTCTCTCCTCCTCGTCCCCATCACCGTCGTCATCATAATGATCATCGTCCTGGCCATCGTCGTCGTCGTTGATCGTCCTCGCCATCATCAGCAGCCTCATCATCCGTTTAACCATTGTCATCATCACCGCCACATGTCATCCGGTTCATCGGCATCACCATCAGCAAAAATATCATCATCGAGTCCCGTCATCCTCCTCCTCCTCCTCCTCCTCCTCGTCATCATCAGCATCATCGGAATCATCATCATCATCATCATCATCATCATCATCATCACCACCACCACCACCACCACCACCACCACCACCACCACCATCATCATCATCATCATCATCATCATCATCATCATCATCATCATCATCATCATCAGCATCTTCATCTTCATCATCATCACCATCACCATCATCATCATCATCATCATCATCATCAGCATCATCATCATAATCCTCATCATCATCATCAGCAGCAGCAGCAGCATCATTAGCATCATCAGCATCAGCATCGTCATCATCATCAGCATCATCATCATCATCGAATTCATAAGCATCATCAGCAGCAGCATAATCACCAACCCCACCACCATCATCATCACCAGCATCAGCATCATCAGCAGCACCATCATCATTATCGTCAGCATCATCATCATCAGTGCCATCATCATCAGCAGCATACTTAGCATCATCATCATCATCATCATCATCATCATCATCACCATCACCAGCATCATCAGCATCATCATCACCATGATCACAATCATCATCATCCTCAGTACCAGCATCGGCATCATCATCGTCATCATTAACATCATCAGCATCGTCCTCAGCACCACCAACATTATCAGTATCAGCATCAACACCATCAGCAGTATCAGCATAAGCATCAGCATCATCATCGTCACCATCATCATCAGCATCATCAGCAGCATCATCAACATCATCAGCAGCATCATCATAGTCGTCGCCATCAGCATCGTCACCATCGCAGTCATCGTCATCATCGGCATCATCATCAGCAGCAGCAACACCACCACCAGCATCATCATCATCCTTGTCAGCATCATGACGTCCATCACCATCACAATCATCAGCATCCTCCGTATTTCCCTCCCTCCCTCCCTCGCTCTCTCCCGCCCTCCCTCTCCATCTTCCCTCGTGTCTTGCCTGCGGTTCTTCCCTACCTCCCATCCGTTCCTTGCCTCCATGCCCCCCTGGAGAAACGCCGTGGCGGAACTCCCATCACGCGCCGCTGCCGCAAAGGGCGATGGTGCTCTTGGATGGCCCTCCGAGAGAGCCAGGCCAAGCGCGAAGAAGCACCGCGACCAGTTTGGACGGCCGCTCCGCCGTCTGGGGCGGAGACTGGCTGGGCGGGAGCGGGAGGGATGTACCGCAAGAAAGCACACTGGCATACCTCTTCTGGAATATTTCTCCTCCTCCTTCTCCGCCTCCGCCGCTTCCACCTCCGCCTCCGCCTCCTCCTCCTCCTCCTCCTCCTCCCCTCCTCCTCCTCCTCCTCCTCCTCCTCCTCCTCCTCCTCCTCCTCCTCCTCCTCCTCCTCCTCCCTCCCCTCCTCCTCCTCCTCCTCCTCCTCCTCCCTCCTCTCCTCCTCCTCCTCCTCCTCTCTCCTCCTCCTTCCTCCTCCTCTCCTCCTCCTCCTCCTCCTCCTCCTCCTCCTCCTCCTCCTCCTCCTCCTCCTCCTCCTCCTCCTCCTCCTCCTCTTTCTCGTCTTCATATTGTGATAGATATGAATAGTATCATCAGTGGTCACCGGCTTATTAGTTTTGTTAATATTATGTGTCCTATGTTTTATTATTATTGTCAGTAGTGGCATGATTCGTCTCGTCCTTCTTGGTGTGGAGGAGGTCGGCGATGGCCACGAGGAGTACGCAGGCAGAACTGAACAGAACAGAGCAGAACGACCCTGGGGCGCCGACTGTCAGCATCGGGGGGGGAAAAAAGTTGTGCCCGAGTGTGACCTCGGAGAGGCAGTCTCGCCCGTCTTCCCCGCCACCGCCCGGCACGAGACGAGGACGAGAAGGACGGGGAAGCAAGGGGGAAGTGGCACACCAGAAGCGCGTACACCCTGCGAAATGCTTAAG